GGGGGGGTTATATGTTTTTAGAAAAATTTGTAAGCCTTATACAGTAAAGCTTATATAAATATAAAATATTAGCAGTAAAATAAAAGTTTTGGGCGGATTTATCCCCTTTATCGCCCCTTAGACAACTGTAGAGATAATAATTCACTGTAAGATCAAAATAATAATGTTGTGGCGGCAGTAACGGAATACAAACTTCAGTATATTTGACTTATAGATATTGATTGTGGAGGCAACGGGGTAATGATGCAAGTATATGTAATTGGACGGTTGAATTTGAAGGATCTGCAAAGAGCAATTTATTATTAAAGGGTGATGGATATTGGATATACTTTACTAAGTACCTATATGTATATAATTAATTATTTATGATATTATTATTGCATGTATAGGTAAGCTTAAATATTATTTATATCGTTGCTGCGTGTATAGTAGTTTCTATAGTAGTCCTTTACGTGCGATTACTCGTAGTATAATGTCATTGAGAAAAGCACTTAAGCGTACAACGTATTAATATATTATWTTGTACGCAGTCAGTTTATACATTATATGCAGTGTATAATGMACTTCCGATGGAAAGTCAACCAATTCACTCTTGCGGAACAAAACCACCTTGGGCGTGTCGCGAGCGTTCTTGTAAATTTCTTCTCGTTCCAAACACATATTATAATATCAAAACGAATTAATTAGGAAACATTATCTACACGGCAAGGATTATGCAATTTTTCGCTAAAACAATCAGCACGGCAAGTATACAATATATTATATGGTAGGTGAATACATGTCGGAGTCAATAAATTTAAATCATTTTGCGGACAATATAGTACTTATATAAGATTATATTATATAGATAATATAGGATATGTGCTATGTGTACTAGGTATATGTTTACCTATATATARTTTTATATTATTATTATATTATTACATTGACAGCAGATCAATATGAGAATTTTATCCCAATAGTCGATAGATGATGATTATTTGAAAGCTTGATGATTTATTATTGCGATTACTATATTGAATATTGTATAAATATTTATGATAATATATATATATACACTATAATAAAGTAGCGGATGTCCATATTGCTATCGACGAACAACAGATTTATTATTAATTCGAAATACTAAAAATCTTCAAGGTTTTTAATTATATATTCAATACCTGAATCAAAACTTAAATATAAGACATGCATATATTTAAAAATAGTAGTTAATACGTCCACAGACAAGAAAATAATAATAACAAGAATTTATTGTACTATTTAATATTAATTATACATAAATCTTTGTAAGTATAATCCGTTTATGTATGCGAGCGCATTAATTAGATTATTTTAAATGAATAATGAACACATTTWAAARAAATATGATATTCATTATTCTTTTTCGTAACTATTGATACTGGGCGAACTTTAGCCTATTATGGGATTGCTGTGTGTAATTAGCGAAGAAAAGTACCAAACCCAAGTACTTAATCCCGTTTGGCTTATAATTAGTAAAACACTCATTTAAAAGTTGTACAGTTGAAAAGAAATTATKTAACATTATATTATAGGAATATATATATATATATAATATATTATAGTAGTTTTTATATAGCTAGTGGAAATTAAATTGCTCAAAATKTCTCCGGTAATTTTGCGCGCTTTAATTGAATGATAATATAAAATATACAAATGTAGGTCTTATTAAAATAACACCCTCGTGGCCTCGTTAATAATTTGTCATCGTGATCATGTTGARTGGTTCATTTAAATTATTCTTTATCAGCACGTAATGTATCAAGTCAGAAAGATTGTGTATCATGCAGTCATGCTCATACAAGTTATACATATTTTCCACGTGATGGTTTTGCACTGTCATCACAATAATTTAGTAATGTACCATACTTCCACCTATACTCATGTACAATATTATTATATGTAGGTATTCTACAAAATATATACAAGACTGCAAGACGTTCGTTTAACGACCGCAWTCGAGATAGTATAGTCTATTAAAACGGTTGCAAAACATGGTAACGGGCTTTTAGTTTGTTGTACGTTTTAATTGAATCGCGGTTGGATAATGAACCCATTATAATGTATATTGAAATATAGTTATAGGTAACCGCGTGCAGTGAGTTCGCAAAAGGTAACAGACACCACATAACAATAAATGTGATAACATAATGGTGTTCCGGCATCCGGCCACAATCGTCGTTTAATTATAAAAAAAAATTTAAGAAACGAAGAGGTCGAATAGCCCGAATAGGCGTAAAAATTGTTTCAGTTTTGCTCCTAGGAATTTGGCTATTCGATCAATTACTCTTGGTGCAACATGTATGACAATATAATATATTAATAATGGTGCTATAACATTTTTAAGATAATATATTATATTGATATTCAACATGAGATGTTTTGACAAATATTTACGATTTATAAAATTCTTGTGTATTCATATAGCTTAACCTAAACAACTATATTATACCCGCGGGCCGCGGCATAAGTACAGCCGTCAGCCGGTATAGGTGCCTGTGGAGTCGTGGTACAATTGCGTTTCGCGTKAAAATAATGAATTGTCCGGCTTTACCCGAATCGATGATTTTTTACTTCTCAGAAATCTGATYGAACCTCAACATAACCGATGTTGAAAGAAATTAATTTTTTTTTTAAAGAATGTCATTGACCCACCTCCGTCGACGTGCGTATATATCATATTATAGTAATGTGTGCAATGTGTGTGTGTACAATACAATATACTATGCAGGGAGAAAATATAGTATATAGGTAGGTACCAAATATACACACTGTTGCTGTAAAAACGTGCGTGAATTTTAACTCGGTTTTAAAATAAATAAATATGTTCGTCATCTGACGGCGTCCAGACGTACTCGCGAACTTGGGCACGCGATTTAATATAATATCACATTTTATAAACGTGTTTATTATAACGTTGTCCGGTCTCGGCGTGGTCGTCGCCTCTAGGCGGTACAAATATATTATAATTATTATATTGTATATCGTATATTGTATATACTACATAATAACATGAAATAAAAATCATAATATACCAACTACAACAAACACGCAGTGATATGTGCCGAGTCCGTTTGTGGTGGTTTTCGGAGGGGAGGGCAAACGTTACCCCGGGCGACCTTGGGGAGGTGTGCGGTCCAGGGCCAAAGGGGTTGATCGGCGGCTGCTGCAGCGGCGGAGAGCTCATCGGAAATTCCCGGGCGCCGGTGAACCGTGTGCGTGCCTCCTATAATATATTAAAGCGACGGTCGGAGTGGCGGCGGCGGTGGAGGGGACGGCGGTGTCGGAGAGGGGCGGACCGGAGCGGGCGAGAGGCACGCACAACACGCAAACACACGAACACACACACTCACATACATTATACACACATACATATGAACGCAGCCGTCGGCGCGGCGGCGACGAGCAGCTACGCGGCTTCGGGATTTTTAATGGTTTGTCTGGGCAGCCGGATCAGTGTGTTGCCGCGAACTGGTTGCGTGAGGACGTGCGGTGTCGCCGGTCGTTCCGATTTTATGTTATTATTTTCGTCGAGTTTCCGCTACCAACATATTGTTATTATAATATTATATTTTATCGCCCGTTGCGTGAGTGCTCACGCGCGGCCACTGTCAGTTCGAGCCCGTTTCTCATATGGTATAAAAAATTTATATTTTTCATTCGATACCACCACTTTAACACGTGTTGATTATTTTTGATTTTCGTTCCTTGGTGTAGTGCCGTGAATGTGTGTGTACCTATGTGTTAGTGCGTTAAACACGTATATTACGCGAATATAGTTTACAGGTCTTCCCGTCCCTGTGGCGTGCGATGCGCGCGCGTGTGTGATAAACTTCCGTACTTTCGCACAAACTGTCATACAGTCGTTGCTTTTCCGGGACCGGGTTTGATGTGCCTCGCCTCCAGCAATGTTCGGTTCCATCATCAATCGCTTTCAGACGTTCTCGCCGACCACGTCGCCGGTGACCTCGCCGAAGATGTCACGGCGCAAGTACAAGAGCCCAGCGCACCGGCGCAGTCTCAAGGACGAGTACAGGGATGTGCAGTCCGAACCCGAAGACGCCTATTGCGCAGGAACATCGTCAGCTACCGTCGGCTATCGTCGTGGCCTGACACTGCAACACCAATTGCAGCAGTCAGCCGGAAGTCCGTCGCCGTCGTCGTCGTCGTCGTCAGCGAAAAAGAACCGCAGCAGGAAACAGCTGATGTTGATCAAATCAAAGTCCACGGCCCGGTTGGACATATCTGCCCCAACGGCTGCCGTTCCTGTGCTCGGAAACTATCACCAAGGATCAAAGTCCATGGGGAGGCTGGATGGTCTAAGACAGGTTCGTTTATAGGTTTCTTTATGATTTTTATATTCAATATTGTTATTGATTTATTATAATATCCATGTTTAGGTATATTAAGCATACCGTTTGTCGTTCGTTGCGCGCTCTTGCCCTTCTAAACTTAACGAATTAACTGCGATGACAAACTCTTCGTTATTTACGCATTTACGTTTTTTTTTACATCTATATCGTTTTATATTTGTATGATGAATAGATACAATTATTGTACAATACCATAGGCTATGGTATAGCAAAAGTTATGTTATAATAAAGAAATATGTTGTGCATGAGTGATAGGAATGCTCAGTAACAAACTTTTTTTTAATGTCACCATCCTTTGGCAATACTCCAAGATTTAACCAAAAACCACCCTTGATTGCGCCTTATTTCTTGTGCATAATGTAATATAACACAGTATATTATAGGTACAGAAAATGAGATAGTCAATTTCGATTTATCTATTTATCAGAGAGGTGCGTTACGTGAGGCAGGCATATTATTATCAATTTGTTAAAGTCGCCGTCGCCATCGTTCCACGTGCGGTTTTCAATAATTGCGTCTTATAGGTTGTATAGCTGTGTAGGCAGGTAGGAGAACGCGCGGTGCGTTGTTTACAGACTACTATAACTACTATACTATACGTAACATAAATGCCTACTGGGCACTGGCAAACGAAACGAAAGCTATAATTGACTTAAACGCGCGCGCAGCGGAGATTCAATGATACAGATAATATTATTATGCGGAGAATAGTATTTTTTTTACATTTTGTCCAAATCGCCGCGTCTATATTATTTTGAAAGTGTAACGAATATACCAGATTTTTGTATTATATGTGCGTGTTCATAAGTCTATAAGACTATAACGCGGATCCGATCGATACAAACAATGACTTTTGACACGAAAATTAGACGACAACCACGACGGCGGCGCGTGTTACGCAACACAACGACCTGTCGCTCAACTCCAATCGTAGAAATTATCTAGCTTTTGTTTACAGTTAATATTAACTAACCCATACAATACAAAACCTACTACCAACCAATTTTCGGTACAGCCTGGAGTCTTCTGTCCTACAGGCTGCAGTGTAGTTGTATTTACGTACCATAATATTATTTTTATTTACTTATATTGATGATTTCTATATAACCTAACCAACCTTTATGTATAATATAACAATTAATAGATAAACAGCTGCGATGACGTAAAATGTTTATGTGCATTATGCACGTTGTTGCTTTCGTGAACATTCCCGGTGCCGTGTGTGAGGAAACCCTTCGTCGGAAACGGCCATGGTATTATATATAAATATTGTAGTCGCAACAGTACTCGTTAGTCGTTAGAATATCGTTTGTTATTCCAGTTACCAGTAATACACATATTACTATGTACGTGCGATCGGTGGGAATGGATTTTTTTGTTATTAATATTATCGTTTTTACTCGCGGGAAACAAAAGGTACCCCGAACGACCGCGACGGTCGCGGACCAGAGATACATAATATCGTGTATGTGCTCGCGCGTCAGGTAGAGAGAAGTTGGTTTTTTTTATATTAATTTTTTACGTGAAGCAGCAAGAAAAAACATACTCATACACATACACGTACAACTCGTATTTTATATATACGAAGACGTAATTTGTCTGCCGCGCGTTGTTTCTATATAGTCAATCGCGTCGTCGTTGCTGCTGCTGCATCTTGGGTTGTCGTGTTGTTTTATACAGTGTATACTTTGAACTCACACACGCTCACATGACACGAGTGTGTTTCGAAACGGTGAAAAAAAAACAATATGACATTCCATTTACCCGATACCGCGCCCGAGGTAATTGGTCGGGTGTTAAAAATATTATTGTACCTATAGTAATAATATATATATATATATATATATTTACTTACGCCAGATTGTCGAGTATATCATTGATGATACAAAAAATAATAAAAAAAAACTAGCAAAATACCGTTTAATGATAACACGCGTCTCAAACTTTGTTTTTTGCGCGTTATCGTCCGAGAAAGGTCGTCGAACGCCACCATAATATAAATAAATATATATATATATATGTGTGTGTGTGTGTAGTGGGTATAGGTATTTTACTATAGTAAGTTGCCAGTTGCTGCAACAGTTTGTTGGCAACGACTACGTCATGTCCATTGCTGCACTATTGCCGCTTAAAGATGTGTACAATGTACATGCACAAACGACCCACGTCGCCGTACCCTTAAATCAGTGGCGATAGCGAATTTTATTACTACTGCGCTGTCGTAAATATGTTATATTGCTCAATAAGGTAACCCCCTTCGTCAGCCGATCGTTAATCGTACCCAGACCGCATTCAGGACAACAATAAACCTGCAAGTGTCCGTAATAACATTTTACAGTGTCACTCTTGAAATTTAATTTAGATACCGAAAACTCACATCAAACGTAAATGAATGACTAGGATGTAAATGGACAATCGAAAATCCAGAACGTCGTATCGATCAGAGTAGCTGGATATCGCATGAGCATCATGTTTTAATTATTACGATATATTATACTATAAACACATACCTAATGAGTAAGCTAAACCGAAGTTTATTACATTATGTGTAATAAATATATAAACACGCGCTTCGAGGGGACGACACGCGAGATGTTTTATCTCCGTATCTCACTCTCATACGTAGAACGTCATAGTAAAAACGAGTTCACAGAGATCTTTCGTTAATGATTGGAAAGTAATTTTGACAGAGCTAAAACACATATCATAAAATTAAGCAAAAAATGTATTTTTGAGGGTGCATTTGAATTCTTTAAATAATAGAAATTATTTAAAAATGTACCTCAGGTTAAAAATAAAAAAACAATATGTAATAGATGCCTATAAAATAACCTGCAAGTAATATAATATAATATTGAAAGTGGTTTTAGCTCTATAAAATCAATGATAAATTACATTAAAAAAATCGTTTGTATTGTGCGAGTGAGAGGACTTTTGATGACCATATTACCGCAATGGCCGTTAGAGAAAAAATAGGAAATTCTTATATTTTCGAAACTTCTTGCTACTGCGCATCCGTCCTGGTTTTACGCATGCATGTACTCGACCACGAATGTACGCGTGTTAATTAAGAGTTTGTTTTTTTTTCTGCCAGACTATAATATCATGCTACTATACCAGTCGCTATATGTCCCTCATATTATAATGATATTATTATTATGTTTATGCGTTTTCGATATTTTCATATTTTGGCAAAAAAAAGTGAAACCTTAATAGGTAATAATGAAAAATGTAAAACAATAGCGTGTCGCCGCCTTGACATTCTTCGGCGCTCGGATGGTAAATACCAAATACGMATGTTTTACAGAAACAAAAGACTGCTTTCTGCTTGTATACCCATATAATAACTAATAACTAATACGTTGAGTATAATATATTTGATACTGCGGCGTTTCGTTTTCACGGATCGATTATCTTTCTTTCTCCGTCAGTGCGTGTGTCATACGTGTGTGAACGAGCATAATATAACTTTAAAGTTTTCATATTACGTAGCTTCAGCTTAAGAGTATATTGTGACAATTGGACATGGGTAATTCGAGCCGTGAAAGTATGATAGTAAATATATTTTCGCGTTCTTCCTCAAACTGCTTATAATAATATATTGTTTTTTAACGTTTAGGCTACGCAAAATATTAATATTATTGCTTTTACACTCGTCAGCGACACTCGATATCGTTATTTGATTTTTCTGTAAAAGGATGAAAACACAATTTTTAATTTTTTTCTCAGAATCTTATTAACGGACGACTTTAATATTATCTTAATTATTTATTTAACTGCTCAAAATTAGTTTCAAAAAAATGTCGATTTTTATCCAAACTACGACTACATGTATGTTTGAAATAACTTTATTCTTTATAAAAACATTAAACAATAATACATGTGAGTGTACTTTGCAGTCGGAGACGTATAAACTATTTATACATGTTGCGCGCCGACGTTTATTTTATGCGGATATAAGATGAAAAATACAAAAAAAAAACCCGAACGATATCATCTTATCTTCTGTACACATCGGCGGCGGCACGTGTTATTTTATGTTCACGACGCACCTCCGCATCGTCGTTGGAATTCGCCTATCCGCAGAAATCACGCATGCGTGTGTAGTGTGACCAAATATATAAATATGTATACATATAATAGGTGTATATATGTCACACGAAATTATACAAAACTGTAACGATTTGACTGCGACTTTTGCGACCTAACCCGTTCGCGACGACCGCCCACACGCGTCATATATATTATATACGTTCGTTAAATTCTTCTGGTCCGCAAGCGGGTCAATCGGACACTAAGCGATTCGCTATTCACCGGGTAGGCAGTATCGTAGTATAGGTATATAATAATATTATGCGAGAGCCGAATCGTCTCCACGGTCCTAAAATTTATATTACACTCCACATATTGTGTATAATATATCCGTATAAATATTGCTACGTGTATAAAGTCGTAATAATAACGCTTATGCATTATAATAATATTATGTGCTGTGTCGTCTGTTTCATAGTAATAATAATAATAATAATGTAACGGCGAAAAAGCCACTCCGCCGCACGCGGAATAGGTGCGGCCCAACAAAAACGCGCACAATATACAATAATAATAATAATGTATAAATATCGTTTCCGTCGCGCATTATTTTAAGGACCGGGCCAGGACGCGTCGGCCATCCCGTCATTGTGTTTCACTTGTGTGTCATCGTGTTGTCGCCGTCGTGTGTACAATATTAATATTATGTACGCGCACATAATAACACGTATATAATATTGTATTATAGGCGTGTGTATGTGAGTGTGCGTATATATTATATATCCTTGCAAATACCGTTTTATGGGACTTGCCGCCGCCGCCGCCGTAAACACCAGCTCCGCATGTGCGTGTGTGTACCACGTAATATCATAATGCTCTGTACGCTGTTATGTGCTTTGTACTTAGGCATCTGGTATACATAT